GACGAGGCGGAGGGCCGCGAGGTCGGTGGCGATCAGGCAGGAGGCGCTCACCGGCCGCGGTCCGGGGCGATCGGCTCGGGGCGCGAGCGCTGCTCGCGCAGACGCTGCTGCTGTTCGATGGCGCGCTCGCGGTCGCGCTCGTAGCGCGCGGCCGAGTCCAGCCGGTCGCGCCCGCGCTCGCTGAGCAGCACGCGGCGCTCTTCGCCCTCGACCTCGACGATCAGCTCGTCGGCGCCGATGCTGCGGATCGTGTAATCGCCGATCTCATCTCCGACGCGCACGAAACGCTGGCGGCCGGCGGCCTCGACCAGCGCGGCCGGGGCGGCGGGGTCGAGGATGGCCCCGAGGTATTTGAAGGAATCGCCCGACAGGATCACCTCGGGGCCCTCCGGGTCCCCTTCGGTCGGTTCGGGCCCTTCTCCGCCCGGCTGGACCGGGTCGGTCTCTTCGCTGGGCATGTTGTGGTTGAGTTCCCGCAGCGTGTCGGCGAGGGCGAGCCAGTCGGTGGTCGGCCACGAGGCGTCGATGTCGACCCCGGCGCCGGGCTCGGGCGGCGTGATCGGCGTGACCTCGGGCACGTTGACGCCCCCGCCCGGAGCGAGGTGCGCGACCGCGGCGAACCCCCCGGCGAGGATCACCCCCGCCAAGAGCAGCGGCGTCATGCGTGTCGCCTGATCGGCGGTCAGACTCATCGGTCACCCCGTCTCGCGTGCGCCGCGCTCGTCGTCGACCTCGCGCAGCTCATCCTCAGCGTACTCGATCCATTCGTGTACGACGGTCTCGTTGCCGGATCGTTCCAGCAACATGTCGTATCGGCGCTTCCCCGCCCAGTCCTGCGTTTCCACGCTGATCTTCCAGAGCGTGGAGTCGAACACCGAGGCGCGGGTGATGAACAGGCGGTCCTGCGGGTCCATCTCCATCGATGAGACGATGCGCGAGAACTCGGCGCGGTCGACGCCGCCGCGCCGGTCGCGCAGGCGGAGGACCTCGTCGGCGAAGGAAGGGCCGTTCTCTTCGGTCATCGCTTCGAGGACCTCGCGCGGGGCCCCGTTCATGCTGATCTGCCACGGGCCGACGCCGCGCGTGAGGTCCGGGCGCCCGCGCAGACGGGCGAGCATCGCGAAGTACTGCGGCTTGAGCTCGTTCTCGACGACGACCGAGCTGCGCAGCGGCAGACCCTGCCCGCTGTAGACGCGGGCCACGGCCCGCGCGCCGCTCGGCAGCTCGAAAGCGTGCGCCATCGACGGGTCGTCGGCGCGGTCCTCCAGCTCGCTGCGCGTGAGGTCCTCGATCCACTTGAGCACCACGGCCCGCACCCCGTACATGTCGTGACGCCGGCGGTACTCGTTGATCTGACGCTCGGTCTGCCTCATCTGCGAGGCCTGGCGCTGCATCGCCACGGTGACGACCAACGAGACCGACAGCAGCACCAGCAGCATCAGCGGCATCGCGAAGGCGCGGCGGGCGGCGGGCATCAGCGCGGCTCCCGGGGCGTGCTGGCGGCGCCGAAGCCGAACATCCAGTCCACCTTCTCGCCGCTCTCGGTCCAGAGGGTGGTGCGCAGCGCCCAGGGGAGATCCGCCGCGGTGTAGGACGCGAACTCGTCGAACGCGCCCTCGCTGTCGGTGAGCGACCACTCGGCGAGGGTGAGGCGGTCGAGCAGGATCGTTGGTTTCCCGGGCGGGTCGATCGGCGTCCACTGGAAGCGCCAGCGGTCCTCGCGTCCGCTCTCGAGGGGGACGATGTCGAAGGCGCCGCGCACCGGGGCGCCCCGGGTCTGATCGCCGAACGGGGTCCGCGTGAGCAAGAGCTCGAGCCTGCGGACGCCCGCGGCGGCGTCTTCCCCGCGGTACTCCCACTCGTCTTCTTCCGAGAGGTGTCCCATGCGTACGCGCGCGGGCGCCGGCGGGATGGGGCGCGCCTCGACGAGGGTGTCGGTGGTCTCGGCGCGCTCCTCGACGGATTGCTCGCGCAGCGCCTCGAAGAACTCGTCGCGGTCCTGCAGGCTGTCGAAGAGCTCTTCGCGGGCGCTTTCCTCGACGGCGGCGCGGGAGGCTTCCTGCGGGTCGTAGTCCTCGGGAGCGGCGACCACCGAGTGCGTCGCGCGGGCGAGCGTGCGCTGCACGAACGCCAGGCGCATCGTGGTGTCGAGACGCGTCGCAAAACCGCGGTCCATGCGCGACACGGACGTCAGCAGGGCGTACCCGCCGGCGAGGATCATCGACCCGATCACCATCGCGAGCAGGAGCTCGAGCAGCGTGAAGGCGCGCCTCACCGCCCGCCCCCCGGGGCGCGGATGCCCATGAGCGCCTCGAGCTGCGTGAACATGATCGTCTCTTCGTCGGTGTCGAACGGGTCGTAGATGCGCGTGAGCTCGACGATCTGCCCCCGCCGCGTGTCGGGGACCCCGCCCGCGTCGGCGTAGACCCGCACCGTCACCTGCACGAGCCCGGCGGCGAGGCGCTGGTTGCCGGTGGTCTCGCTGATCGAGCGTGAGCGCCGGCGGGTGACGCTCGAGCCCGAGGCCTCCTCTTCAAGAACGGACTCTTCGATCTCGAAGCGGAAGACGCCCGTGCCCTGGCCGATCGGGGACCCCTCGGGGTCGGGGAGCGAGCCGGGGTCGATCATGTGGTTGAGCAGGAGTCGGTGCGCGACCTCCATCGCGTTGAGGCGCTCTTGCTCGATGACCGCCATGCGCTGGATGGCGCCCATGCCGCCCAGCCCGACGGTGACCGCCGCGCCGAGGATCACCAGCGCGAGCAGAGCCTCGAGCAGCGTCATGCCGCGATGTGCACGCGCGCCGCGCACGGGTCGTCCTTAAAGGTCCCAGACGTTCAGGTCGTCTTCGGTGTTGAACTGACGGTCGGGCCCGGCGCTGCGGAGCTGGAAGGGGCGGTTGGGGTCCGACGTGGGCGACTGGTAGCTGAACTCCGTGTTCCAGCCGTCGCCCGGGATCTTCTCCATGTAGTTGGGCACCAGCGCCCGCAGCCCCTCGGCCGTGGTGGGGAACCCGCCCTTGTCGAGGCTGTAGGCGGTCAGCATCTGCTTCAGCGTCGTGAGCTGCGTGCCGGTCGCCTGGATCCGCGCCGCGTTGCCGCGACCGATCAGGTTCACCGCGGCGACGGTGGCGAGCACGCCGAGGATGGCGAGAACGAGCAGGATCTCGAGCAGCGTGAAAGCGCGCCGGGCGCGGCGGGTTCGTGTGGTCATGGTTTCGGTCCCATCCAATCGAGAGGTGTGCGTGGGGTTGGACGCCCGGCGGCCGCGGCGGTTCGCCTAGCCGATGGCGCTCGAGAGATTCATGAGCGGGATCATCAGCGCCAGAACGATAGCGCCGACGAAGAAGAAGACGAGGACGAGGATCGCGGGCCCGAGGAGCGAGAGCAGGCGGCTGGAGGCCTCCTCCGAGCGCTCGGCGTACTCCTGGGTGAGCGACTCGAACGTGGGCTCCAGGTCGCCCGCGCGGTCGGCGGCGATGAGCAGCTTGCGCGTCGCGAGGGGGAGGGCCTCGACGTTCTCGGCGAGGGACGAGAAGACGCCGCCCTCGACGAGCCCGTTCTGGAGTTTTTCCAGCTGCTCGCGCAGCTGCGGGTGCTTGACGGTTTTGGCGCTGACGCTGAGCGAGTCGGCGAGCGGCACGCCCGAGCGGGACATCGCCGCGAGGACCGCGAAGAGGGAAGCGCACTCGCCCGAGAGCCCGGCCCGCTCGACGACGGGGATGCGCCGCAGCGCGGCGGTCGCGGCGGGGACGAAGCGTCGGCGTCCGACGATCGCGCCGATGAGCGCCGCGCCGACCATGAGCAGGACGAGAAAGAGGTTCGCGCGCATCCACAGCCCGGTGTCGATAACGAGCCGGGAGTAGCCCGGGAGCTCGGCGTTGGCCTGCTGGAGCGCCTCGCCGAGAGTGGGGACGACCACGAGGAGCATCAGCGCGAGCACGGCGACGCCGATAAACGCGACGAAGGCCGGGTACATCAGCATCGTCTTGGCGCGGGACGCGACGCTGGCGCGGCGCTTGGCGGACTCCGAGAGACGCTTGGCCGCGGGCGCGAGATCGCCCGAGCGCTCCGCCGCCCGGTAGACGGCGACCGCGACCTCGTCGAACCCGCCCGCGTCGGCGCAGGCGTCGGCGAACGCATCGCCGGCCGCGACGCGCTCGCGCAGCTGGCGCACGCGGCGCTGCGCCTTCGGGCTGACCACGCTCTCGGCCACCTCGAGCGCCTCGACCAGCGGCACGCCGCGGCTGACGAGCAGCGCGAGCTGCTCGTTGAGCGACAGATAGTCGCTCAGCGCGAGCGCGTCGTCGCCCCCGCCCGAGGCCCAGGAGGGGATCTCCCACGCGCGGAGCAGGAGGAGGTTCTCCTCGCCGAGCGAATCGGCCAGAGCGGCGCGCCCGTCGGCGGCGCGCACGCCGCGCCGCCTGGCGCCCGTCGCCGTCACCGCGGTGAAGAAGAATTGTTTGGTGGTGGCCGCCGCGCTCATGGCTTACTCGGTCAGTTCCTCGGCGAGCGCGCCGGGCTCCGTGCCGGGCGCCCCCGCGTCGTGCAGCACCCGGCGCAGCTCGACCTCGCTCGTGAGCCCGCGGGCGATTTTCTTGCGCCCGTCGGCGATCATCGGCTCCATGCCGTCCTTGATCGCCTGCGCCATGAGCTGAACGGAATCGACCGACTTCATGGTCATCTCGCGCACGGGGTCGGTGATCTCCATCAGCTCGTAGATGGCGATGCGTCCCTCGTAATCGTCGGAGTCGGGCGACTTTTTCTTGCGCAGCAGACGCTGCCCGAGCACCGCGAGCACCGACGAGCTGATGAGGTAGGGCTCGATGCCGATGTCCTGGAGCCGCGAGATCGCGCTGGGCGCGTCGTTCGTGTGCAGCGTCGCGAGCACGAGGTGCCCGGTCAGCGAGGCCTGCACGGCGAGCTGCGCGGTCTCGGCGTCGCGGATCTCGCCCACCAGGATGACGTCCGGGTCCTGGCGCAGGAGGGATTTCAGACCGGAGGCGAACGTCACGCCGCGCTTCGGGTTCACCTGCACCTGCGCGATGTTGTCGAGGTGGTACTCGACGGGGTCTTCGATCGTCATCACGTTGCGCGAGTGACGGTCGATGCGCTCCATCGCCGCGTAGAGCGTCGTCGTTTTGCCCGACCCCGTCGGGCCCGTCACCAGGATCATCCCGGTCGGGCGGTCGACGTAGGACATCAGACGCGTCTGCATCTCGGCGTCCATGCCCAGGGAATCGAGCGAGAGTTTGGTCTGCGTCTGGTCGAGCAGGCGGAGCACGAGACGCTCGCCGAAGATGGTGGGCACGCACGAGAGACGGATGTCGATCTTGCGCGAGCCCACGCGCACCGTCGTCTGCCCGTCCTGCGGGCTGTGGCGGTTGGCGATGTCCAGCTCCGCCATCACCTTGAGTCGCGAGCTGATCGCGGGCGCGAGCGAGAGCGGCGGGCTGAACGCGTCGACCAGCAGCCCGTCGACGCGGAAGCGGATCAGCAGTTTCTCTTCGAGCGGGTGGATGTGGATGTCGCTGGCGCGCCGGCGCATCGCCTCGAAGAGGATCATGTTGACCAGACGGATCACGGGCGTCTGACGCGCCAGCTGCAAGAGGTCCGTCGCCTTGCCGATCGTGCCCGCGGCCGTCTCGAACGCCTGCTCGTCGAACGGGAGGTCCTCGACGATCTCGGTCACGAGGTCCTGGCGCTGCTCGTAGCCGCGGTTGATGAGATCGCCCACCTGCGCCCGGGGGCTCAGCACGAGCCTGACGGGGAGCCGCAGGAGGCGTTCGGTCTCGGTGAGCGCGCCGGGCGCCAGCGGCTGGCTCGTCGCCACGGTCACGCTCGCGCCGTCAGCCGAGAGGCCGACGATCTGGTGACGGCGCGCCGCCGAGCTGGGCACCCGCTCGAAGAACACCTCGGCGCTGTCTTCGGTCCTGGGCTCCGCGATGAACTCGAGCCCCACGCGCTCGGCGAGCCTCTCGAGGGCGGTGTGCTCTTCGAGCCCGAGCGTCGAGAGCAGGATGTCCCACGGCTCCTCGTCCGCCCCCGGGGTCTTCGCGAAGACCGCGAGCTGCTCGGGACGCACGGGGAGCGGGCGGAAGAGCTCCGCGAGGCGCACCCAGCGGGCGGCGTCCTCGGGGGACGCGGCCCCGTTGCGTTCTGTCCCCCCCGCGCGGCTCATTCGCGGCCCGTCTCGTCGAACGCGTCGAGCAGGGGGATCCTCGCCGGCTCGAGCGGGGGGAGCATCGGGTCGACGCCCGCCTCGGCGAGCGGGCCCTCGGTCAGCAGGCGCAGGTCGTTGAAGCTCTCGTCGCGCAGCACCCGTGGGGTGATGAACACGTAGAGCGTGCGCAGGCTCGAGCGCTCGCTCTGGTCCTTAAAGAGATTCCCGATGAGCGGCAGGTCCCCCAGGATCGGGACCTGGTTGACCGAGTTGTTCTCTGACTCGAACGTCAGCCCGCCCAGCACCACGGTCGAGCCAGAAGGCACGGTCACCACGCTGGAGATCACGTCGCTGCGCGTCGGCGGCGGGAGGTCGGGGTTGGTCTGCTCGAGGAAGCTCGAGAGCTCGATGTTGAACTCGAGCTTGAGGAACCCGCCTGCTGAGATCTGCGGCGTCGCGGTCAGGCGCGTGCCCGCGGAGATCGTCCCGCCGAGGCTGGTGGTCGAGGGCGTGCCGACAGTCTGCGTCGTCTGCGCGAAGGGCTCGTTCTGCGTCGAATCGAGCGTCGCCTCCTCGTTGTCGTTGACGAGGATCGACGGGGTCGAGAGCACGCGCCCGTCGCCCTCCTGCTCGAGCGCATTGATGATGATCGGCACGTAATCGCTGTTGATGACCGCGGTGGTCAGGCCCTGAATGGGGTTGATCGTGGTGTTGCGCGGGTCGTCGATCAGACCGAAGTTCGTGAAGGTCGGGAAGTCGCTGTTGGGGTCGGTCAGCGCCGTGTCTACAGAAAGACTGAAATTCTCCGAGGCGTTGACCGTCACGATGCGCGCCTCGAGGAACACCTGAGGACGGCGGGTGTCGATCTGGCGGATGATCGTCTCGATCTCTCCCTGCTGACGCACCGGCGCGCGG